TAGCTTAGTCGGTAGAGCATCCGCTTAGTAAGCGGAAGGTCGCCGGTTCGATTCCGGCAGAAGGCTTCACGTGTCAACGGCTATTAACTCCCATAATACCAACACATTTTGCAGATTAGGCCCTCCCAAGAGAAATGGGTCTGCTATTCAAAGAGGAGCTATATCATTTCCCTGACTGGAGAAAAGAAGCCAGAAATGACACAGATATGATTCTACATGCCACCCGCTGTGACGGTTGAGCTTTGTGGTGTCTCGTTTGAGTACCTCTCATGCAGTTACCCAAAGCAGGTTCTTAGCACGTTTCCGTTACTCCTATCCAATTGACAACGCTGAGCATCAACAGGGTCAAGCGAAGGAGGCATCGCGAATCCTAGCGAGTAGATGAGGACGCTGAAAGAGCAATATACATGTGCACTAAAGCTACGTTGTAGTATCGCGCACGTAGAAGAACATATCCCAACTTCAGATAGACGAAGGTTGCCTACTAAGGGCCAAGTTGACGCTAAGGCAGCAAGTGCAGCAGAGGAGGCACAGCTGCGCTTGCATGGCGGGTTGCAGTAGAGCACGTGCTGCAACAGGATGCGGTGCAACTCATGAGCGGCCGCCTCCTCTCCGCACCATACCCATGCCCTTGAACTGTACGCAGGAAGCTTGGGGAATGTAGGGGATGTCAGATGTTTTTGTGGACCCCTTGCCCTATGTCTATGACTCGCTATCGGCGCTCCTCACCAAAGATCAATGATCCTCGATGCATAGAGACAATACGAAAAAGCTCAACGGCAATGATATAGCCTTCTGCCGGCGAGAGCGGGGTCACCTCTACTGACCGCAGTTGGGCAAAAGTCCAGTTAGCTAACACAAGATGCATCGCTCTAAACAACTATCCAACCGACTTGGTTTGCTCCGTTAGTTTGCTTCATCTGCGTGATCGCGTGCTTCCCTTTACCATCTGTGAACTATATGTGTCTCACCAGAGATGTTCTGGCGTGGACCATTCAGTGTTGTGCCAGCTTCCAGATCCCTAGGAGCCCACTGCGCCGTTGGCTAGGGAGGTGACCCTCGCCTCCTTAGCTTAGTCGGTAGAGCATCCGCTTAGTAAGCGGAAGGTCGCCGGTTCGATTCCGGCAGAAGGCTTCACACCTCCACGGTTTTGAACTTCCTTGTTACCAACACCGTTCGCATTACTTGCTTGGCGCTTGCAGCATCAGTTCCTGCCAGGTGCGTTGCACCTCGTCCCTGCCCACTTCCTTTCCTCTGTAAGTAGGTCCCTGGGCCTCCGTGACAGGCTGCCTGGGGACGGGATGAAAGGTCAGTTCTTGGCAACTATCGCATACTGTGACTCCACTCCAGCCCTTGACGGTCCTCGAGTAGTATGGAACACTGCTGTTACTGTCTATTGTTGCTCGGTGTGTGTCACAGCATTACAGAGGCTACGGTGCACCGGTAGGCAGTGGTTTAATCAAAGCAGCAGCAACCGTTGCTATTACGGAATGGAAGTTCAATTAGGGACGCTTCAACGATAGAGAATCATTTGCCCGATTGCTCATAAAACGGGCGTTCCCACTTGGCTGGAGGTGCCATTGGCTGTTCCTCTGTTGCTGCTACTGCAAGCGACAAATGCTTCTGAGCCGTTTCTACTGGTGCTCCAGCAGAAACCGACACCGTTGCCCGCTGCTGCAGCAGAGGCATTCTCTTGCTGCCTGCTGCAGCAGGAGAAAGCGTCGAATCACTTCAAACATGTAGGGCCCTGCACCCAATAGTGCAACCCAGAGGCGGCCAACGCATTGGGACTTTTACTCACACACAGCACACAAACATTTTAAGCACCAGCTTCGAGACGTCTCAGTCTGTAGCTGCTGCTTGTGGTGACAATCGCAAGCTGCACGCGACATAATGTGGCGGTATCTGCATCTTGAGACTGCATTGCACAGCGACTGGTTTGGAATGTCCTGCACCATATTCAATGCTAAGATGATATTTTTATATGGCATTGTGCTCTCTTCTAATACTGCATATTAAGCAGTGTGCCGGTTCGCCCGTGGTGTTACCCCGCAGGCGAAGGGCCACCATGTATTCGTGACCGAGGACCGGCTGGCCTCATGCAATTCCTGCTGCACTTTCAATGAAAAAAAAACGCCTACAGCACCTTCAGGCCTGCATAGGGAGTCTTGCCATGCAGGGTAGAAGGGGAAGCGGCGTCGGTGATATATCCGCTGTGTTTGCATATACTTCTGAGCTCCGCCTTCTCTAGGTATTAATATCTGCATTGGCGCTTTTAAACATCCCGATCCCAAAACCACTGTTTAGGGAGGAAGGAGTATATCTTTCTGCGTTATCTCTCTCACGCTTCCTCGCCATGCATGTTGATCCGTTTCATCTCCTATCTCTCTCTCTTCTGGCGGCGCCGCTCAGCTCGTGCGATGCGAATAGGGCAGAGATCTGCACTGAGCGGTACGTGGACACGGAGGGCATATGTCCTATGGGTGCTTCACGCTGAGGTCTGCGGCTTGTTTCAGTTGTTGCATATGAACAACCGATGCAATTTCTACTGCTGCATTCTTCATGGAGGCAGCTGCCAATGCCAAATCGCTTGAACTCGAGTGGGACTCCGCCGTTTGCAGTGCCCTCTCTACAGCTTCAACCTGTAGCTTTCGCTTCTGCACAAGTTCCGCTACCCAGGGTTGTCGTTCCTCTGCTGTTATATCTGCCATTCCTGTTCCTTCTGCTCCCACCTGCGCCAGCTTGGCGCTTACCTGCAAGTCGGATTCCAGCGACTCTAACAGCTGTGCATGCAGCAACAGGACCTCGGCATTCCCGGCGATACCCTCTGCAGTCATAGCTGCTTTTCTTGCTTTAGCCACCAAATCTCGTCCAGCCGTTCCCTCATCGCTGCCTTCTGAAATCTCATCAGCTGCAGCGGCAGCCTGTTTGTGAGCCGTCCTTACATTTTCTTTGTCCTGCTGCAGCGACGTGATCACCGATTTCAGGATTGCCTGATTAAGACGCGGCTTGCTCAGCGACCCGTCCTGCCCCTGCTCCTCCCCAGCTTGTGAAGAAAACAAGTTCGGGGGAAACCGCGACTGCACCTCCTCGTGGATTTCTAATACTCTTCTTCTGGCCTCTAACGCATCCTCACCAGCTCTTGAAGATATGTCTTCGTAAGCTTCATCTAGCGCACTGTCCTCATTGGCGGTCTCGTCAAGTGGAAAGTCCAGCTGAGAGATCTCATCCACCACCCGCTTCACTGCCTTTCCCTTATCTTCTGCATTTCGTCTTATTGCTTCTGCTGGTATTATTTCCCTTGCATTTTGCATCTCTTCGATATCTGCACGATACGCCTGCAGCAGCTGCTCTCCTATGTTTAACAGATTCTCCACTGTGTCTAGCTCGTTCATGGCCTCGGTGGCTTGCGGACTAGACTGCAGCTTCTCTCTCTTATCAATGCACATGGCACGCTTCTCCTCTATAAAGTCGCGATAGTCTTTGTACAGGCGCATCTGGCCACGAACGATGTGAGACAGAGTCACAGCAACTGCGCTGAAAGATAGCTCTTCAGCAGACTGTCGTCCTGTTTTTGCTGTTTCATGTGCTGCCTGGATGAACTTCAAGTTTTCCGCAACAGCAACTACGACTTTCCCATCCTCAAGCCGCTCCAGCTTTGGCAACCCCTCTAGCAATGCCTCCGTCTCCTCCAGATTCACCGCAAACGCCCGACACGATAGCTTAAGACTGCTCAGGTGGTGCTGTACCGCCTCTGCAAGGGTTGAACCTATGTAGGTCTTCATGATGTTGAGCTCCTCAGATGAGAACTCACGCACAGGATGAACAGCAAGTGTATCTCGTAACATAGTCAATCCATGTTGCCGGGCTATTTCATACAAATCAGACAAGGCAGACAAACCCTTCTTCAAAACCGGCTTCATTACACTTTCAGGTGTGTCCCACCGATTCAAAGAAGAAGACTCCACGAGCGCATGCAACTCCTTGGCTCCCGCCAAACTTTCCTGAAACTCCGAAAAAGCGTAGTGACAGTCCGGATCTTGTATAGCCTCCGCTAGCTGGGTAGCCACTGGTTGCAGCCGCACCATATCATCCAGCTGTTGCGCCAACCCCCTGCCAGATCCTTTCTCATCGCTTTCACGCTCCTGCTCTTGTCGCAGTTGTGTGTGCTGTTCTTTCTCATGGTCATGCTTTCCTTGCGACTTAGGATGTTGAGAAGCCCTGAAGAACCGGGCTAAGAACGTCCCCAAAGAAAAACAGACCAATGCGGTAGTTATGAACACGGATGGTTGACCCAACAGTTGCCCTTGGCCTTTTTGCAGGGGATGCAGTTTGGGTGATGCATTCGTCTGAGCAGCTTCAGCTGCCAGCTCCTTGTCTGCGTCCTGGCCAGCATTCTCAAGCAAGACGGAGCCCTCATCGATGATCGACGTTTCATCCAGGGAATCAGGAGAACCCGACGTATAACGACCATCTGACAGAGACCCATTCAATATGGACTCCATATCGTTCCCCGGGCTTTCGGGCATAAAAGCCTCACAAGAGATGGCTGTTGTGCCCAGCAAACAGGCAACAACTGCGCGGGCTCNACCATGAAGAAAAGAAACTGCGAAATGTCTCCACGCGACATTAGGAAAACATTGACGGAGGTCTCGGTCAATACTTGCCCGCTTCAACGCGGCCCTTGAAACAAAAAATAAATTCTGCAATGAAATATACACACGTGAAGTATAGTCACTAACAGTTCGACGAGCCGACGAGAACCAGTACCAACGCGCCGAGCCAGGTTCTGGTGTACCGGCGGGTGGAAGGGTAGCGAAGGAAGGAAGAACTGCGGAAAAAGGGGCAAGTCTATTCACCAAAAAAATTTTATTGCTTACCGTGGATGGATCAAGCATGCGCGTCCACATCCGCTGTGACAGATGCTCGATCCTCCGCGTGCATGAGGGGACCAAGACGCAGGCCGGTGCATGCAGCTGGGCTGTGCTGTATGGAGGAGAATACCAGTAGACCACAACCATCTCTATTAATTCCTTCATCGCCAGCCATCCAACACATGCGAATTTGCATTCGAGCGGCCTGTGTGTCAAGCTGTCTTTGGCTCTCCCGAACAGAAGCCTAGGTGCGCGACCCTAGCCCGGGGCCCTTAGCTAGATATACTCTGAAATATGTGGTGGATTGTTAACCACGCACATTTCCCTAAACCACCCTAAATAGACAATTTTTAACATAAGGATCCCTAATTTCAGGGGGCCCACCAAACAGAATTGGCGGACTGCTGCCCGCCGCTCCACTGCCAGTGCTCGTGAACACTCGCTGCCCTGAACCCTAAATTCGTCGGCACTCGCTGACGTAAACTCTCAACTTGTGGGCACTCGCTACCCAAACTCTAAATCGTAAGGTTTGCACTTTCAGATCATATAACAGAGTGAATCACGAACCGCTATATTTCCCTTTTCTTTAACAGTGTGCCCCACTTCCCAGGCTAGCTGTAATGCTCGGCAAGACACGGCAATGCAAAGTGCTGCAAGGTCTGGAACTGTGTTGCCTGCCTTTTTGTGGGTGTCCGCTGGATACAGGAAGCCATGTTATTGTTTATAGCTCTAAATGTTGTGTTAGTGCATGCTTGTAAAGGCGGTGGGTGTAAAGCATCGTGTGTATGAAGTTGGTACGTGCATCTGTGTTGTGCAACTGCGCTTGTCGGTGAAGATTCCCGTTTCCTTTTCGAACTGCGTTATTCTTGCTCTCTAGATATTCACGCGGCTTCGGTTCTCGTTAAGTTCAACAACGGGTGATGGGCTAAGCATTGAATCATGCACGCAGATATCTTGCGGTACCGGACGAAACGTGGATTCCGCGGACTATACATTCCAGCTTCGTTTCGCAGGGAAATTTTGCGCAAAATGCACGATCACGCTTTAGCGGGCCATGGTGGGGTCAGCACTATAGTGGAACGAATAGCCAGGTCCTTTTAGTGGCCTAGGATGCGCCCCTCCACTAGGGATTATCTCCTCGCTTTTCCCGAATGCAATCAGCAAAAGTCGGGTGAAGTCCTCTAACCCGGACTCTTGCAGAGTTATCAGATACCCGAAGGAATCTATTAATTATATTAAAGCACCTGACCGGTGGGCCTATCACCAGGCACAGCCGCCGGTAGCATTTACGCCGTCGCGAACAGACTCAGTACGCCCACTTTGACCCGCTCACTTCATCTCTTCTTCGCGTTCAGTTACAGCATAGTGAGTGGCACAATTATTCATTAAGCACGCCTGAAACCTCCACCGTGTTCAGAAATGCATCACTACTGAGAGGGACCCGAAGTTCGTTAGCGGCTTCTGGCGCGAATTCATTAACCGGCTGCATCTCGGGCACAACGTGACCACTGCGAATCACCCAAATGTAGGCAGTATCAATGAATGCACAAACCGCACGTTGGTCCAGTATTTGCAATTCGATACCCAGTAGAATGCATCAAACGAATGCACTGGCAAGAGTGCAGCTAGCTAACCTGTGAAAAGACAAAGCGCATCAATGTGCACAACTAGTCAGCCCGCGAGTCCTTCATCACCTTTTGTCACTTGTGTTAGCGTGCGCGCCCCGCATTTCCATCTGTAAACTGTGTGTGACACACCCCTACACTGCAGTGGGCCTTGCAGCGTTGTCTCGTTATCCAAGTCACTCGGACCGCCGTCCTGCTGTTGGGTAGGAAAGTGACCCTCGCCTCCTTAGCTTAGTCGGTAGAGCATCCGCTTAGTAAGCGGAAGGTCGCCGGTTCGATTCCGGCAGAAGGCTATATTGTTGTGAGGATGGCTTTTTAAAAATATAATGGGGCTTTACACTGTGCTATGCACCCAGTGTTGCCTGAAGACTTCCCGGGTGGGCGTAAACTGGAAGTTCGCAAATGAGTGAGACATAAAGCCTTCTGCCGGAATCGAACCGGCGACCTTCCGCTTACTAAGCGGATGCTCTACCGACTAAGCTAAGGAGGCGAGGGTCACTTCTCTACCCAACCACAAAGCGGCACTCTGAGTGAGCTGGAGGCCAAGACAAAACTGCATGGTCCAATGCAGAGTAAGGCTGTGTCACATACAGTTCACAGATGGAAAAGGGAGGCACGCGCTAACGCAAATGAAACGGATCAACGGAGTAAACGACGTGGGCTGGCTACTTGATTAGAACGAAGCACATTGTGAATCCTCACGGCGGCTAACAATTGCTGCCTGTGGAGGTGACCCCAGTTTCGCCTTCTTAGCTTAGTCGGTAGAGCATCCGCTTAGTAAGCGGAAGGTCGCCGGTTCGATTCCGGCAGAANTTCTTAGCTTAGTCGGTAGAGCATCCGCTTAGTAAGCGGAAGGTCGCCGGTTCGATTCCGGCAGAAGGCTACATCATTGACATTGAGCTTTTGGTATTGTTTGTATCCAACGGGGGTCCTTGGTCGCAGGTTAGGAGCCCCGCCAGCTGCGATTGAGCCAAGGATTAAGGATCATGGTTCGCCAAAAGCAGTTGAACGCCTCTCCGATCCCCTAGCGCCCTGCGTATATCATCCCAACGGCGATGGGATGGATCAACTATGCGGCGGCCTGCTACGGGTTGCAACGCAGATGAGCTGCAAGGCAACCCCGTATGCAAGCAGAACGAGACCACTTCTGCTGCAGTTATTAACACTGTACACTATAGCAGAAGACCTACTTGATCCTCAAAGGCAGCCTGCTCGCAAGTAAAAATATCTGTTCTAACTTCAGAAAGAGCATGCTTGGGTGCACTTCTAGTGTGTTTTGCGACACAGCTGTATCCACAATTACCCCATGAGTTGCACTCTCCTTTTTCTGCTGGAGCCGACTGCTTGTTGATACGCCCAGCCTTCGAAATGGAGAAGAGTAACGGAAATGCCATAGGGTCCAGCTTTGGGTGTCTGCATTGCTGTAATACTAACGAAACCACCGATACCCCAAACTAGCATCCAGGAGCTCGCCAGTAAAAGGGCGCTGCTGCCTTCTCCGGGGTCTGCTCGCATGAGTGGCAACGCATCTGTATAGTGTTAGTAAACGCAACAAAGCTGCGCAAGGCATTGGTAATATGGGAGCTCGTAGCCGTGGGCAGGTGAAGCCTTCTGCCGGAATCGAATCGGCGACCTTCCGCTTACTAAGCGGATGCTCTACCGACTAAGCTAAGGAGGCAAGGGTCACCGCCCCACCCAACCACACAGCGGCACTGTGAGCGACCTGGGGGCCGAGGCAAAATAGCACTACCGCTGTGAAGAACTCCCCTACAGCAGGCCAGCTTGGGGGAGCTTAGGGCCTTAGAGACCATAGGGCGCTCGAAACTTGATCCCACTCTCTTCAGGTGCCAACTCTCGTTGGGCACACCAAACAATGCCCGCAGCTCTCCTTCTTGTGCCTCCAACGACAACACAAACGCAGACAAAACCCAACTGCGAGTCCTAAAAGTGATTAGAGTTCCGTCCCACGATGGGGTGTGGTGAATTCATAACAATGGGGGGCCCACGAAGCTGATGATGTGTGGGCTGAGCCCTCAGTCCCTCATATGCTATGCCGAGATTTGTTCACGTTAATGAGTAATATTACACTTTAGTGTAATATATATCGATAAGCATGACATATTAATAGGCTGTTCCTCCGAAAGTCTATTGCGGGGCGCATCCTTCGAACCCCAGTGCTGAGTGGGGATGCGTCCCACAATAGTCTTTCGGAGGAACAGCATTTAGGGTCTAGGGTGGCCATTCAGCAAAATAACAAAGCTTAAAGAATGTTTCTTCTCTTGTCTTCATCCCTCCCAGTTGGTCTGCTCTCATCCCCTCTAGACCCGGCACTGCAGCCTTCCGAGCTGGGAGAGGAGACGGTCTGGCTTGTTGCAACACCTTTTGCAGCCTCTCCTATAGGCATAGCAATACACCGCTTTGTAAACAATATCTGTTACATTCATCAAGTATTTACTCAATAAATGTCAATCTGCACTCACACACATCGCCATTGTTAAATCATCCCTCACTCTTGGCGTTTGTAGGGAATACTCACTACAACCACGGCAACATTGCCGTGCTCGTTGTGCTAGAGTGATTGTAATGAGTATGCACTACAAACGCCAACATACAGTGGTTTGTTGCGCACAGTTCACAGGCACGAGACGGCAGAAGTTACTCTACAATTGTCCAGCCAGCATTGTTTGCCCTCTCGATTAGAGCAGTGGACTTTGCGAATCCGTAGGTAGGCTACCTGGAATTTTGCTCAAGAGCTGTCTGTGGAGGTGACCTCCGCCTCGCCTCCTTAGCTTAGTCGGTAGAGCATCCGCTTAGTAAGCGGAAGGTCGCCGGTTCGATTCCGGCANTCCTTAGCTTAGTCGGTAGAGCATCCGCTTAGTAAGCGGAAGGTCGCCGGTTCGATTCCGGCAGAAGGCTGTATCACTGTTGCTAAGCTTTTTCCTGAGGTCAGTATGCAGCGAAGGCCCTTGCTCTTAGGCTAGGAACGTCACCAGCTACAGTAGAGCCAAATATTTATGATATAGTTCTCCATAAGCAACTACCATCCCCTCCACCCTCCCGTAGTCCTCTTAGGAGCCTCCAAATGACCTGGGGCTGGTGAGGAGAGGAGGCGGCATGCCATGAGTTGCAGCGCACGCGCTACAGAAGACCCGGATGAAAGCACAAACAACCCCCCATCGCTGCACTTATCAACACTTTAGGCAATTGTTGTGCAGCTATTTCTCCTCGAATAGGAAACCTTCACGCTTCAACTTCATATAGACCGACATACAAACTCAGCTTTATTTTGCTGTGTTGGCGTCCTCAATTACCCAATAACATGCAGGCTGCTTCCGTAGCTTGCCCCTGCTGGTGAACTGCGTGGGGAGGGCTAACGAAAATGTGTTAAGGACCAGCTTTGGGTTTTGCATTACTGCTGTACTAACGAGACAGTGACAGCCCCAACCGGCACTCCGGAGGCCGCTTGCAGAAGCAAGTATTTGATTTGATGCAGTGTTGAAACAGAGTAAAGAGCAAGGAAAAAGCAACCAGAAAACCGCTTCATCCAACCACGGAAGAGGCAGGTCCTCATTGTATAGCGGTACTCCAAATAGTTGGGGGACCTAATATGCACAGGGCATTGTTAACAAGCCCGACGATAGGCGAAGCCTTCTGCCGGAATCGAACCGGCGACCTTCCGCTTACTAAGCGGATGCTCTACCGACTAAGCTAAGNTTCTGCCGGAATCGAACCGGCGACCTTCCGCTTACTAAGCGGATGCTCTACCGACTAAGCTAAGGAGGCGCGGGTCACCGACCTACCCAACCGCACAGTGGGCTCCGAGTGACCTGGAAGCGGAGACAACAGTGCATGGTCCACAGCAGTGCACGAATGCGTTGCACACAGCTCACAGATGGGAACAGGAGGCATGCGCCCACACAAATTGTATGATGCGAGGGAATAAATCACGCGTTATGAATGTGCATTTACAGTGATTCGTCTTGTGTGTCAACCCGTCAGCAAACTTAACTTTTACGCAGGTGCTATCTTTAGAGGTGACCCTCGCCTCTTAGCTTAGTCGGTAGACCTTCCGCTTAGTAAGTGGAGTGCAACCAGTTCGGTTGATGGACAAATCGGGTCTTTTTCCCCCCCCCTGCATCCCTTTTCTCCGTCGGTGCGCGACGCCTGCTTTCCTGTCCCGGTGCACCTTACTGTCGGCGGCCACTTAGAAACCTCGAATGAAGCAGGTCGAGTACATCATTGTTTCGACTGATAGCTTTCAAGGTCTAGTGAGGCATCAGTGGCACCTTCTGCTTATAGCCAAAAAAGAAGGCTTGTTTTTGCCCGTAGGCGTATCCTGGCAAATTGTTCGAATAAGTTTAGGTCTGGCAGAGCTTTCGACCCTCTAAAGTATTGCACCCTTTCTTCTGTTGATGTGCTTTCGACCTAAAGCGACGGGGAAAGTCTTGCAATCCGCCTTGCTGGTCTTTCAAAGCAGCTATTGTGGCCGCAAGACACGCAAATTGCAGATACGCCCCAAAAATACAGAGATGAACTCCAAGTTGGTACTGTTCTTAATCAATGAACCTTTTGATCGCCCTAGTGCCAATTTGGGTTGAATACCCCTTCTCCCATAACTACGTATTTTTTTTGCGTGCCCCTCGTTCATGTTGTCACTTGCAATTTTAATATTTTTCTTAATTCGCCTTACTGGTAGGCATTAGATGTGGTCCCGCTGCTAGTTCTCCCCTTCTAGCCACAGTTCGTGATTGCCCTCTGAAGTGATCGTTTGGGCCAAGCATTTACATTTGCAAGACTCGTGCATCTCTGTCTGCGCGTGCATGTATGCATATATGCGCACACATCAGTACATATACACGCACACACGCACACGTATGTATGCATGTACGTGCATGTATGAATGGCGTGAGATGATGGTGGCGAAGATATGGATATTTCAGGACAGCAAACCACAGGAATTTTTGAATCTCTCAGCACCTTCAGCAAAACAAGTCCAGAGACCCTGGGTGAAACTGAACAGCTGGGGCAATGCCTCAGCCTAAACCCTAAACCGTAAACTCTAGCAACTTGATGCTGATGAATCGAAAGTTGCAGCCGAGAGACCCCAGCTGTTTGCATAGGATGGAGACAGTAGAAAGGGGTTTGCGGATCCAGGTGTAGGCGCAACCAGTTGCATACTGAACAGCCCTAAACTGTGAAACAACAGTTGCACCCCTCAGGGGCTGAATTCAAAGTGCTTTTGAAAAGAAAGGAAAACAGAACGGCATCGAGGCCGCCTGGTGTCCTCCTTAAAAAAAAATTATATACGCCAACAGCATGAACGATCAAACGGAGATTAGGTCAAAAGCCTAATCAAAAAAGGGAAAAACAGCTTTGCTGTTTTTCCTAGCTGATAATGCCGCTGCTGCTGCACTGGCTTCTGCTGCTGTGGCTGCCAGCTATGAATGTAGTTGGCAATTTTCCCTCTCTTTGAAGCGACGGCGGCAAACAAGACGCTTTTAACTAGCTAGCGACTAGCTAGCCGGTCATCCAACTAAGTAACTAGCTACGCCACTAACGGTGTTGACGAACAGTCAACAGAGCGACCACTGCCCAGCAGGAAGTGGAGCTCATGGAGCACAGAGGCACCGGGGATAGAGCAGACTGTCAAATGGCAGCAGCGAAGGAGGAGATCCCCTGCACCCTCGAGAGACGTGCAGATGTCGGGCATCTGCAAGACGAACAAATAGTAGCCAGCAGCAGCAAGCAGGAAAGTCAAGCAACAGCAGCAAAGAAAGCAGCAGCAAACAAACACATTAAACACCCAAATTTGTATCCGATAAGATCAACTGGTTCCATATAAGGCAAAGGAAACACACCTGTATAAACATAGGCCACCCAAACACAGAATACACCTGTTCTATGCTTTGCAAGATCGTTTGCGTGTACTCGTGTGCACACACCCGCCTATTAAGGTGCGCATACACCTGACAGAACCAGCTGTTCAGGTAGGGGCAAACAGTTCGTCGTTAGTAGCTCGAAACCAACAACGGTAGACAGTGGTGGTTCAATATGACTTCGGTTTCCCTATAAAGCGCCTTTGCTTCCCTCTTATTATTGTGTATTTTATATATATGTATCGACATTATATACATATATACGTATATCATGCATATGAATACACATACAGAAAATAGAAAACATCAATTCAGCTGGTCTTATGTATGCTTACCCAGAGTGCGCGGAGAGATTCGTGGTGTTTGGAGGCGAGCAAACAACAGAGTTCATCTCCTGCAGCTTCCTCTTTGTTCCCTCCGCCTCCCCTCCTTTGTAATCTAGCCCGAAGGCCCCTGAGGCCCTCTGGAAGCTTGCAGTCGCTGCTGCTGCTGTTGCTGCTGCTGCTGTTGCTGCTGCTTGTGTTGCCGTTGCGACCCCCGGAGGACCCCAATGGCATCCCAAAGCCAAAGACAACCAATTGCTGCGGGGGGAGCTCCTCTAAGAAGAGCAGCAAGGCTTCAAGCGCAGACACACTTTCTTCCTTTGCTACTGCTGCTTCTGTTGCAGCTGATGCTGCTGACTCAGATATTCCCTGGTGGCTACTGCTGGGCTTGTCGCTGAGGCGGCTGATGATGAGCGTCTTCAGTCTGGGTGTTTTGCCTCGGAGCGCCAGCAGCAGATCAGGCCCCACTTCGGTCTCGAGCACCAACTCTTCCAGCTGCTGCAGGCCGCTGCTACTGCTGCTGCTGCTGCTGCTGCTGTTTGGCCCTTTTCTGCTGCCTGAATGCAAAGAAGTTGTGCCAGAGGACCCCCGTGCTGCGTCTGCTGCAGCCAAAACATCTTGGGGCGTTGCTTCAGCGCAAACACACAGAAACAAAACACCGAAGGATCTCCATCAGAGTGCCAGCGCAGCAACAAGGGGTTTCTTAACACAGCCTTAACGCAGGGAATAGCTTATTAACGAAGAAGTAAACGAAACATGCAAGATACAAAAAGAAAGCGCAATACTAGAAACACTTAAAGGTGAAGGACAAAGGCCAGGCACAAGTGCACGGCAGAGGTAGAAGCGTTGCTATAAAGAAAACAGATGCAGAGAAACAAATAAACAGAAAACGAAGAAAGAGATAGAGGGAAGGAGCCTCACAATATGTGGTGTATCCTCCCCCCATGCTGCGGTGTATCCTCAGATGCTTCAAATGCGGCAAAGTCCAGGTTTGGGCGGCTGTTGCTTCCTCTACCTCCCTCTTGCTGCTGCTGCTGCTCCTGTTGCCGCTGTCACTGCAGCTGCTGTTGGTGTCGCACATGTGACTGATGCTGCTATCTATTTTGCTGCTGCTGCTGATACAGCTGCTACCGCTACCGCTGCTGTTGCTGCATGAGGCGTGGCTGAGCTGTAGCAACAGCTCAGTTGCCGTGGCTGCATCCTTTTCTGCTAGGACAAGTGTCTCTGTCATGCGCCAGAGACTGTTGAGTTTAGCAGAAGTTTCTGCAGAAGTAGATAAAGAACTTATGGGCCGATGAGACGCGTCCACGGAGCGCCAGCTGCAGCAATCGCACACAAGTAGGAGGTCACCTACCCAGTCTCCCTGCTACTGCAGCAGCACGAGCAGCAGTACTAGCACCGGCAGAAGAAAGGGTTCTAGTAGTAGAAACTCCAAGAGAATACTTGCATAGGGAAGACGGGATGGAACGATTGTGCAGCTCTGCTACCCTCAAGGTATGGCGGGAAAGGGTGGTGCCACTGCTGCTGTTGCTGCTGCTGCTGCTGCTGGTGCTGCTGCTCACGTGTAATGCAGATTCACTACTTCCCTCCAGTAGCGGCAGACGCGGGAAATTGCAGCCTTTTCTGCGGATTGGTTTCCAACTAAAGACAAAACGAAGGCGAGCAAATGGCGGGGCAAAGCGAAGTCAGACCCAGAGGTCGAGGGCCTGCCCCAGGACCCTTGAGAGGTATCTGCTGAGCATTTGTGTAGGGAACATCTTTCTTGTGCTGCTTCTACTGCTTCTGGCCGTCTGCTTGCCGTCGCTGCCTCTGTTACTGCTGAGTGGGCTGAGGTCTCCATCCGCGTGGAGTGTATCGCCGCTGCTACGCCTCTGGCTGTGGGCCGTACTGGGCCTCTATCTCTGAAACAGTGCTGCTGCCGGCAGCTTCCTGTGGTCTGTTCGTTTGCTGGCGAAAAAGTGCCTGGAGCCTTCGTCGAGCTCAGAGGGCTTGGGCTGGGGGGCGCCAAGGCGTCGCTGAACGGGTAGAAGCAGCTGTTTTCCGCTGCCTCAGATGTGTTTAAAACTACTAAGGAAGGTTGAGCTGCTACTAAGTACTCAGAAGAGGCGGGTGCGGCTGTTGGGAGGCCGTGAGAGGGTTCAGGGCTCAGCGGGCGCTCGGGCTGAACCACCAAGGAACGTAGCTTCCCCTGAGAGTCTTCCTTGAAATGTTTCATTGAAAAACAAATTATAAAATCAAAATAAACAAAATTTCAGAATTTAAACGAAAAAAGATTCATGAAAATGCGGAAACTTGCACGCAGGCGAAGGCTCTACGGGAAGGGCAGTGAATGACCCGTGTGCGGCGTCAATCGCTGCTGAAACATCTGCAGCTTTGCAACGAACACTGCAAATCCCGCTTCAAAAAGATCAAATAAAATATTTAAACAAATTAAACGAAGAAAACTTGAAAAAGAATGCAGATGTGAAGAGGCTGCGCCTACACGAGACACCGCTGAACGGGCGGGCCCGGCGGACAACTCAGGTCTCGCCCACGTATGCGGGTGTGCAGTATATTTCTCGGCTCCTTTCTATCATCTCCATCCGAAACTGGGCTTCAATTTAATTATTTACGCGCATTATCCTTTTATTTTGAATCCCTCACCTCTAAGACAGGACCAATTTATCCTGCTTTGTGCTAATTACGGAGCCGTTGCCGCGAAAGGAGGTCCTTCGGGGGAGGGTAGCAGAAACACTGAATTTAACAGTTATCTTCCTCTCGTTTTAAAAAATGAGCATTTAAATTTACTTTTTAAGAAGATAATTTGCATCTTAGTCTCTTTGCTCATGCTTTCAGGCTTGGATGGCATCGGTTTCTGCTGGCGGCGGATTCGCCCCTGTAGAAATGTCATCTGTGTGAACAGCTCCTTCCTTCTTGTCAGTGCAGGTCGCTTCTTCGTTGTGTGAGGCTGCCTTATATGGTAGATACAAGCCGCCTCACACACACACACACACACACACACACACACACACACACACAGACACAGACACACACACACACACACACACATACACAGACACACAGAGACACACAGATGCACGGAACTTGCGCTGGTGGTGTGTCGAACCAAGCTTGCACGCCGACAATCCCATTCTAGAATCAACGCCATTTGTCTTGTTGCTTCCTCTCTGAAATGCTAGTTGTGGTGAGCACTTGAACACGGCAGCACAATTTGTCTGGCCTCGGTTTTATACGTTGAGAACAAAAAATTACAGTAGTAATAGTAATAATAATAGTAGTAATAATGTTTAACCAAGCCAGGGGAACTCCTTTCCGCCAGACTTGCATTGATATAGAGGACGTGGTTGCAACGAAAATTTGTAAATGATCCCGATAGATGTGTGTAGGCTAGCGCTAAGCGCTTCTAAATATAGTTTTGTTCTTCTATGTATAGAGTTGAGTCAATATAATTTTGTTTTTCTATGTTTGGCCTTGTGTTAATTTCTTCTTTCTCTTTATGATAGCTCCTCACTATTAAATCCAAGCGCAGCAACTGAAATGCAGTGGTCGGCACCGATACACTCTCTACAACAGATGCCACTACCTGGTGAAAGCATTTCTTAATGTATTTAATAATAATATAATAATATTAAAATAATAATAAAATAAAAAGATGAGAGTAATAATGCGTAAGCGGGGCTGTGCAGAAGTAAGTGCCCTGATATCTTGTTGGTGCAGATGTGAGGCCCCAGCAACGTCTCAGTAAACCCTAGAAACATAGACCCAAGACCCGAAAACCCTAAACCCTAAACCCTAAACACTAAACCCTCTTTTTTCCTGAGGCAGTGCACTGGCTATTCTAGGTGGAGGCATCTCGTTGAGGAAAGAGGAGAAATTGTCTAGGTAACAGTAGAAGCAGAGGCAAACAAATTGTATAAGCGTCTAAAGGAGATCAAATGCTAATAAGCTAAACCCTAAACCCTAATATTATTACTACTACTTATGTTATTATTGTTAATATAAATGAGGGGGGTGGGGCTGACGTTTAGCAGTTATGTGCAGCGAAAGAAATGCAGAAAAAAAAACACACAAAGACAAACCAGCGCATTGAAACCGAAAGGAATGAGGTGAGTCCCAAGCCCTTGTGTCATAACAACACCTGTCAGCTCGGCAAACGCTAAAAAACTAAACCCTAAACCCTCCACGCCAACCAAACCCACACCAAACCCTACATTAGGGTTTAGGGTTTAGGGCGTGTTAAACTGGTTTCGGTGCCACTCTCCGTCCCCCCCTCTACTCATGTACTGAGCAGCACCCCCAACACCACTTCTAAGCTGCGCTCCTGACAGCAACAGCAAATACGCATGCAGATGATCCTGGTGTTGCTGCTGCTCCTAGTGCTGCAGATGCTNCCTGACAGCAACAGCAAATACGCATGCAGATGATCCTGGTGTTGCTGCTGCTCCTAGTGCTGCAGATGCTGGTGCCGCTGTTGATGCTGCTGTGTTGCTGCATGCCTCCCGCATTTGAATCTCCGGCAGCTCCTGCTACCACTGCTGCTGGTGTTGCTAACCGCGCTGCTGCATTGGAATCTGCAGCTGCTGCTGGCGTACATAATTCTGCATCTGCTGCTTCTGCAGCTGCTGCTGCAGCAGAAGCTGCTGCTGCTGCTGCTGTTCACTGCCAGCCCTCTAGGGGCACATCGATGTTGGCGTCAAGAGGAGCGCTGGGGATGACCATCATAGGCAGAGAGGAGGCCCCCTCCCTTACCCAGGCTTTGTAGTGTTCAACTTCTCTTTTAAACTCCAGCACCGCCTGCCGTCTGTACACCTGAACTGCAGGTGCCTGCAGATCGGCTTCGAATTGCTGCTGTTGTTGCTGTTGTTGTTGTTCTAGTAGCTGTAGCTGCTGTTGCTGCAGTTGTTCTGGGTTTGGAGCCTGTGCAGCACTACCAGCAGCACCACCAGCACCTGATGATGCTGCTGCTGCTCCTGCTGCTGCTGCTGCTGCTGCTGCTGGGGGGCCTGCGTAGTTGGAGTCTCCCGCTGCTAAAGCCTCCACCACCTTGACTGCAGCAGGAGGCAGCAGCTCCTCGAGTGCTAGGGCCCTCAAGAAGCTGATGAAGACAGAATGGCCGCTGATGACAACAGCTTCTTCCATAGAAAGTGCCACTCTGCGAGCCTGCAGCTGCGGTTGCTGTTGTTGCTGTTGTTGCTGCTGTTGCTGCTGCTGTTGTTGCTGCGGTTGCTGGTTGTGGTGGTGATGATGGTGGTGGTGGGGGCTGTGGCTGTGGGTGCGTGTGTTCGGGAAAGAAGGTTCGTGCCCTGTGATTCTTCCTATGACTCTACGCATGCCTTCAACCAGTCTATAGAGGAGGAGCCACATGAAAGCTCTGCGTACACTCCATGCCCAGTGTAAGAAGAGCCTGGGTCCATGCTGAAGAAGACAAAGTTCATTTAGTATATCTTTGAGTTGTTCTCCATTTAAAATAGGTAAATTTCTGTAAATAAACCAAAGACCTTTCGATACATTTGCAAATAAATCAGATCCAATCACCAGCTGTATTCCTTTTCGTAGAAATGCGAAATCAAAATTTGGTGGTAGCTGGCGGCCACGGGAAGCAATAAGTTGCAGCCAGAAATCTAAGTAACTGAGAGCAGCGAATACTTGGGGTGTATTATGTGCATGTGTTTTTAATAATACAATCTTAACAAATACAGATAAAAGCTTTTCATTCACAAGTACAGCCCCTGTACAGCTCGCCAATGCATCAGGATACTTGGGCACCAGACGGCCTTTCATCTCTAGCAACAGCCGTTTCAGTAGCGTACGATACCCCGGGATATCTTTCCACTCTGCGGGTCCTTTTGGTGCTGCATTTAGAAGCAAAGAACGAACAAATTGCTCTAAAAAAGTAAAAAAAGATGCGCCAGCAGGACCCAGTTCCTCTCTCCAGTCCGTCTCAGGTGGTAGCTTACTATGGAGAGCAGCATCATCTTCTTGTAGTACCTCCTGGCCGAAGTAATCTTTCAAAGCATTGTGAAATGTTTCCCACTGCAATAAAAGGCGTAGAGGGCTGCCGGATATCCATCGTTCTGCTGCTGCAAGTGCATGCCCATCTAATGTATACTCCGTTCCTCTCCATTCCTCTACTGCTGCAGCACGGCCTTCTTGCGGCAGCACACACCGCAGCAACTCCCCCCGAAATACAGGCAAACGGAAGTAGCAGCTAGCCAGCAACAGACAAGCTACGCGTCGCTGACCTCCGAACGATGCCTCACCCCCAAGCATCCGCAGTGCTGCTGCTAGCACCCGCTGCAGCAGCAAGCGGAACTGTCTACACAGTTTCAGTCTTTTATGATATAATACAACACCAAACTTCGTTTCTGAATTTAGAGATTTTAATAATACACGCAGCTCCTCTGTACGCTCCCTCGATACAGCAGCAAGCAGCTTCTGCTTCCATGGTTCTTGCTCCGTCTTGGGCTGCAGCAGAGGCACATTATCCCCCGGTTGCTGCTGCAGTTCACGTAGCAACGTTGTTCCTCCTGCTGCTCCTGTTGCTGCTGCTGTTGCTGCTGNGGTTGCTGCTGCAGTTCACGTAGCAACGTTGTTCCTCCTGCTGCTCCTGTTGCTGCTGCTGTTGCTGCTGCTGTTGATGCTGCTGCTGCTGCGGCTGCTGCTGCTTCGCTGTCGGTAGGAGGGGGACAACCCTCCCCCACGCTTGCATTCCTCAGCCGCTTTATTGCATTGCCAATGTATCCCCTCGCGCCCTCACCATGATCTCCACCCCCCAGACGAGGCAGCAAGTTCAATGATAAACGGCCTCCCTGCTGCTGCTGTTGCTGCTGCTGCTGCTGCTGCTGTTCCTGCTCCTGCTGAGGAGGCGGGGATGCAGCGTGCTGCTGCTGCTGCTGCTGGCTACCGCTTCCTCTCCTCGTTCCTATCCCATAGTCTGCACTACCCAGGCTGCTGCCGGTGCTGCTGCTGCTGCTGCTGGCGTGAGTAGGGTTGTTGCTGATGTCGGGTTCGGTAACCCGCTGGGGTGCTGTTGCCGCAGTGGGCTTTGTCTCTGCCTCTGTGTCAGCAGCAGCAGTTGCTGCAGCAGCAGCAGCAGCAGGAGCAGCAGCAGGAGCCGCCGTTTCTTCCTTGATGAGTACATAGAGTGCATAAACCTCAGCTGAGGTA